TGGTAGAATTCACAGCAGAGCTAGCTTCAAAGAAGGCTTCTCTCTAATCTCTAACTTCTTGTTCTTTCCAACTGTGACTTTAGAAATGGGGAAGGGGGCCATGGGTTGAAGCACCAGTATCTCACTTTGAAATGTGGAGGCAATGGCCCCAGTGTCCTAGGCCCTCAACTGAAGGCAAATCTGAAATGTTCTATTTTAACACATCCTGTTGAATGGTTCTTTCATCAGCTGCCAAATTCATTCATGGTAAAGCCCCCAAAATTTTTTCTGCCACATTACAAAAAAAAAAAATGGAACATCTTATCATAAAACATTGTCTATTCAACTGTTTTGAATATAGATTTACATCCAAATTCTAACTCAAAATTTGTGAACTTATATTCATATCTGAGAGGATGCCAGTGGTATCAAAATATCCATGCTCACCCACACCCTTGCCCTTAATGAGAGTTCCTCATAGGATTTTATGTTTCTCTCCAACTGAATTAAATAGAAGAAAACACAAGACCAGCATTGTTGAGGTTTCCAGAGAACACCGCCCCTTGGCAGGCTGCCTGCTGGGAGGTCAGGCACAACCCAAGTCCTTCTCTTAGCAGCACCTCTGGGGAGAGAAAGCAGTCATCAGAGACTTGTTTGAGGCTGGGGTTCAAATTTACTGATTTTTCATTTTCTTGTCCTCAGATGACCACTCAGGAGTTTTCCTTTTTTTAACTGCTTTTTTCTACCTGCTTTCTTAGTCTTGAGAGGCTTACTGAGACATTGCCAATGTAAGTCCATACTATTTTTCTAAGAGACGGGGTCTTGTTCTGTCACCCAGGCTGGACTGCAGTGATGCAATCATAGGTCACTGAAACCTCAAACTCCTGGGCTCAAGCAATCTTCCTGCCTTAGCCTCCTGAGTAGCGAGGACTACAGGTGCACATCACATTACCATGCCTGGCTAATTTTAAAAATATTTTTGTAGAGACAAGGCCTTACTATGTTGCCCAGGTTGGTCTTGAATTCCTGGACTCAAGCAATCCTCCCACCTCAGCCTCCCAAAGTGGTGGGATTATAAGCTGTGAGCCACTGCACCTGGCCATAAGTCTATCTTATACAGACACATATATTTATTCAGAGCCAGGTGGTAATGGTTTTCTAAAGTCCTGTGATAAACACAAGAAACAACCTAAAACATTGAGTCGTTTATTTGAAAGCAGCATAATTTTAGTGTTGGGTTGCCCAAGACACAGTTGCTTTCAGTCTTTCTTCGGAGAATCCCAGAAGCTCCCAGAATATATAAGTGGGGGCGTTTGTCACCCCTACTTCTTCTCACAGTTGAAGTTGAAGTTCATTCCTATCATTGAACAGGGGACAAGATTCAGAGAAGCAGCCAAATTCCAAATGATTGGGCGTGAAAAAATCTCAGCCTGAATGTAATCAGAGGCCTAGAGTTTTCAATCTCTCTAAGTTTTGTAGACAATTTACATAATTACATTGGCACACACATTTTTCCATTTCAATAAAAAAGCCTCCAAGATCTTTATGTTCATGGACAAATCTTTAATATTGTAAAAAATATATATAATAAACCAATATAAACTCAAAAATTCCAAATAGGGGCATGATTCCCTGATTTTTCTTTTCAGAGCCAGTAAGAATACACTTCAGATAGAGAAAAAAGGAGATTTCCTTTGCCAATTCCCTTCCTCCACTCAAACATACATTATACTCAGACACAAGAAGCTTTATTAGCAAAGTCTCCCCCATTTTGCTTTGATATTTTGAGCCCAATTAAATATGACGGATCACAGCTCTCAGTACATGTTTGTGGGCAGATTTTTGCTTCCACACATAGTACAAACGTCTTTGATCAAGACCAGCTGAGAACACTGGCCTAAGTAGGTAGACTTGGCAGAATTCTCAACCTTGGCTATTTCTATCAAGGCGAAGGGGTTCATACTACTTTTTAGAAGTCTTTTTTCTTCATGGAACTAATTAAATATAAGTCTGTATAATAGAAGTGAAGTTAAAACAACTATAATAATTTCTGTTTCTTTTTGATTACAGCAAAATGGACTGAACACAAAGTAGTTTATAAATTCTATGCTTACGATCACAGACAGGAGCCACAAACCATGAATGCCAAAGTAAACACAGACCAAGCTGAGTGTCAGAGTCAAAATGTACATCAAATTTAATGATACATATTTAATGATATGCATACTCACAGTAATTGCTCAAGTAGATGGGAGGAAGTGCCAAAGACACATTTCATCAGCCTCACAAATCAGCTAGTCCAGATGGCCCCCCATCTTCTTCAATCCTACTCCAGCGCCCAGAGGACAAAGTCCCTGGACCAGTAGTGAAGGCCAGAGGACCACACATACTCATTTACTCTCTCCATTCCCTCCACAGGCCAGAAGCATAGGCTGGGATGGTGGAGTCAAAAAAAGATCTCCTTGTACAATTCCTGTTCAGAGGCTCAGATAACCTATGAAGAGCTACCAGATATGTGTCTCTTCACCAATGTAACTCTAGCACAAAGTACAGAGTCAGGGACAATTTGTTCAAAGGATGACCCCTGGGAAGACAGGTGTTTGTGCTGGGAGATGAGGAGGAAGATTGGCATAGCAATGTGAAAGTGTTAGAAATTCACCTCCTAGTGCATATGAGTTAATTGGTTTGCTTTCCTAACATCTAGTACCCAAGGAAATTGGAGTTCTAAAGACTATAAAGATATCGGATTCCTACAGAAAGAGGGAAAATATATGAGAAAAAGCATCCCCCTCAAAACCCTACTTCTTCATTTAATACTTGTTTTCGGGTTTTAAAAAAAACTTTTAGGTTCAGGGGTAATGTGCAGGTTTGCTATTTAGGTAAATTTGTGTCATGGGGGTTTGTTGTACAGATCATTTTGCCACCCAGGTACTAAGCCTCGTTAATTTTTTATTATTCTCTCCCTCCTCCCATCCTCCATCCTTACGTAGGCCCCAGTGTCTGTTGTTCCCCTCTTTGTGTCCATGTGTTCTCATCATTTAGCTCCCACTTATAAGTGAGAACATGCAGTATTTGGTTTCTTGCCCCTACGTTTTTTTGCTAAAGATTATGTCCTCCAGTTGTATCCATGTTCCTACAAAGAACATGATCTCGTTGTTTTTTATGGCTGCATAATATTCCATGATATATATATACCATACTGTCTTTATCCAGTCTACTGTTGATGGGAATTTAGGTTGATTCCATGTCTTTGCTATTGTAAATAATGCTGCAATGAACATACATATGCATGTATCTTTATGGTTAGAATGATTTATATTCCTTTGGGTATACACCCAGTGGTTGGATTGCTAGGTTGAATGGTAGTTTTGCTTTTAGGTCTTTGAGGAATTGCCACAGTGCCTTCCACAATGGTTAAACTAATTTACACTCCCATTAACAGTGTATACATATTCCCTTTTCTCCACAACCTGGCCAGCATCTGTTATTTTTTGACTTTTTATTAATAGCCATTCTGACTGGTGTGAGATGGTACCTCATTAAGGTTTTGGTTTGCATTTCTCTAATGATCAGTGATGCTGAGCTTTTTTTCATATGCTTGTGGCTTATTAAAAGAAAACATATATGTTTTCTTTTGAAATTTACTTAACACTTGTATCAAAGACAGGGTCCTATTCCCTCTCCCCTCCTTTCAGAACCCTTTCCTCCTGTCTCATCTCCTGTTCTAATCCATCCACAGTTAAGTGAGCCAACAGTGGGGATAAGATACCTGCAAAGGTCTGATTTGTGGTTCCACTCCTAAGGGAAAGTCCAGGTTGTTTTCAGGATTGTGTTTTGTTTTGATTGGGAGGGGGTGGGGCATAATAATGTTTTTTGCCTGCTTAGGATCTTTGCTTTGTACAAACTACACCCAAGAGGAATTTTGGGATGCATTCCAAAATAGGAATACATAAAACTTTCTGTCCAACTAAAATCATTCAGGAAAATGAGAGAACTTTCATCCTGTGTTACAAATGACTGACTGTGGTTTCTTTCCTGAAAGCAAACAATAGTAACACTTCTACCAATTATATTGATAATCCGGTCTGTTCGACTGACAGTGTAAATTAAGATCAAGTAACACCTCTTCCTAACTGTTTTTGAATGTTTTATAATTGTCATGAATAGTCATCTCTTTGTAAATTACACAGGGCAAATGTTGATCTAATCAAAGGGGGTAATTTCATTAACAGACAGAATTTGTGAAACCTTCTTATGAACAGAAAAACCTCTTACTTGAATAACAGAAATAATGGTACCAAAATGGCCTTCCTAAAAAAAATGAAGATATTGCATGCAATGTTATTTCTATACAAAGAAGGTGTTAGGATAATTATCCTGAGTTTCCAGACTATGAAGGATTAAAGATAACTCAAGAAAGTACTATAGAACAGCACACATTATTAAGACTATAATAACAAACTGTATAATAAAAGTTTGTTTTATCATGACAATTATGACATGGTTTTCATAGAGAAAACCAATTAAAGACAGCTGTGTCTTAGGTATATTTTGGAAGGCAGGCTCATGATACATAGTTACAGTAGAAAGCCTTTACTCTGCCACTGATTACCACACACACACACACACACACACATTTTGTGAGGAGCATTTCTTATATGGGATCAAAACACAAAGCCATATTTGCTAATAGGTCTATACCAACTTCCATGGCAATGCTGATGTTAGGAGGCAGAAATGGTACTGCCTTATATCAGTGAGTACCATGCTTTTGCACTGTGTTTAAAAGCCTTGGGTGGTGGTGGGGCTCTAACCTGCAATGGAAGGTAGCATGGTGCAGTAGAAAAAACACTTTTTGAAATCAGTAATTCATGAAATCCTGATTCATGGCCCCACTTTTTACACAGACCAGAGCTACGACTCTGGAAAAAACAGTTAATGCCTCTGTGATTTGGTCTGTGTGTCTGTGTGTGTGTATGCGTGTGTGCGTGGGTTCGAGAAAACAAAACAAAACAACTCACCAATTCCAGACATTGCCTGTGCCCATAGGCAGCAGCATAATGTATGCTATTGTAACCTTCCTTGTCCCGGATAGATGGATTTGCATCATTTTGAAGCAGAAACTCTAGACATCTGTAAGTATAAAAATGAAGTGTTATTTTAGAAAACATCTCTGGACTGAAAAAGATAAGTTTACGTAAATCGTCCTGTGATGAATGTTCCATGAAGAATTTTATGAGTTTGTTTCTTTAAAAACCCTACAGCATTGAAGTTTTATGTATTGAAAATTGTGTGTGTGTGTGTGTTTTCTGTAGCTATCTTTATTTGAGCTTAATACAGCCATTCTAGAATTCAGGAAAAGCTTTAGGAAAAAGAGGGTAATTACGATTTTTTTCTCTCATCTTCAGGTAAGAACATCTGTTATCAAGATTACTGAATAGTAAGTTTTGGAGTTCCACATTGATTGAACAAAGTCTCAATAAAGAAGTGATCAGTAACAGGGCAAGTAACAGGGCAACCTCAGTAGGGAGGGGTTTACTCTTAACCTCACCATAAAATCAAAGGTTAGAAAATGAAAGTTAAAAAGAGTAAGAAAAAAAATAAGAATAGCCTAAACAATAAAAAGATTAAAGGAATGGGTAATCATTTTTAAAGAACAAAGAATTAACTTCATAACCACATATGAATAAAGAGGCTTAAATTTCACCATTAGGAATATAGACCTGGGGGAAAAAAAAAAAAGTTTAAAGCCCTTTCAGGCAGTTGTAATTTTTCTGAAAAAGCCACAGTCTTTGGAAAGCTTAGAGGAAGGAGCACGGCTCCACCTTCACTGAAGAGCCCAAAACTCTAGTTCACAAGTACCCAGGGATGTAATAAGTTCTGTTCAGGGCCTACCGCAAATGGTCCAGTCCTGCTGGGAAAGAGGGAGTCGCTAGTCAGGAAGTGCTGCTTCATAGCGTCAGCATTATCCTTGTGACAATGGGACAAACATGTCCTTTACAAGACCAAGCTGATTCAATTTCATACTCAAATCAAAATGTTAACATTCTAAATATCAACCCATACATTAAATAAGACCTTCCAATAGAAAATTTCTACGGTTTACCCAAAAACTTTTAAATGGCATTTACCTATTTTTTGGTATAACCCAAAAGGAGAAAAGTCAATTACACACAGGGACAATTAAAACAGATACTTCGATTTCTAGAAAAACTGATGAAAGCCATATATGTTAAAAAAAAAAAAACAAACAAATACCCACATGTCAATAATAAATCAAACTATTCTTAGAGTCTTGCTATTATTCCCTCTTCGGTCATTTGCACCTTATAAGGAAGGAAGTTCTTTTTCATTCTGTTAATTAAATGCCCATGGAAAGGATCCCAGGTATGACTCACTGTAAATTGAATTTGGCTCTTTAAATGAAATCACTCAATAGGAATAACATGCTAGTGGACACACAATTCCCAGTTTCTGAATGGATTATATCCCAAAAATTAGTTGATAAATTGAATTTGTAACATAGTTGAACTATATATACTGCCAATAGTAGTATTATAATAAAAGTAATGTAGAACTTGGATATTCTCCACATTGTTTGTAAGGAAAACATGAATTCCGTGTTTTAGCTGGGAATGCTTATTTTTTTTCTCTTCCCAGGGCCTACTAATTTGGCAATTATGATGCAAAGCCAACAGATGCACATGAGGTCAGAGGCGTATCTGGATACAGGGAGTGGCCTCCCTTTGCATAGAAGAACTCTCAGGCAGCTGGTTCCTCCTGCCCCCTGCCTTTCTGGTCCCCTCCCTCTCCATCAGCTTGTCTGGCTCAGGGCAAGCTTGCAGTTCACTGGAAAAGGGGGCATTTGCTGCAGTGGCTTAAGATGCTACAGCCTTTTAGTATTGTTATTTTAAATTTGGGGGTATCAAAGCAAAACTCTGATCATCCTACTTTATTAGCTGCTGCATTTCCTGTCCCCACCCCAATTACCATCAAAGTTAGGTCCCACAACCTGCATTGGAGCCACACTCTCTAACTATACCTTTCCACAACAGTCTGGGCATGGGAGGAGCATAGTATAGGGTGGGAAGACCCTGGAGTAGACACAGGCATTCAGGCCACAGAAAAACTGGGTCATCTGACAATGAAAGAATAAATAAGTTAACAACAATGTGCCTGCAGACTCATAGAGCACCATATCCACTGGATTCCACAGGGGTGAGGCACAAGGTGTGGGTACCAATTCGTTCGTTTGTTCATCTACTCAACAGCTATTGAATATTGACTATGTGCTAGGTACTGCACTGAGCACTGTAAGCTTCTCACTGTGACCTGTGGTGCGGAAAGGACTCTCAGAGGATGAAGCTGGAGGTTCCTGTGCATCTACAGCCCTGAGTGATGGCAGGTACTCCCACCCCTGCCACAGCAAAGAGCTATGTCTCTGTTAGAAGCCAGGGAGAGGCAGGTGGGATGAGGGGCCCAGGAGCAACCTTTTGCAGGAGCAGGAGGCTCTTCCTAAATTGATGTGGGTGTGGGCTGGGGGAGGGGAAAGCACAAATGGCTATTTCACACCAAAGTATTAAGACCTTTTAAAATAGGATCTGCTAAATAGATGTCCCCAGGTCATAAAAGCAGAACCTAAGGCTCTCAGAGGAGGCTTCATCTGTCTTCACTGGTACATGATGCATCGCAGTCAGAAATGATATTTAGGACACCAGGTCCTAAAAACCACTGACCAATCACAGTGGTTGCTGAAGCAAAGCTTACAATTTTAGAAAGTTCCCTGTGTGAAAATAGTAGAATTGAAGGCTGTATTAAAAGAATAGTTTCTTTCCCATTAAAGGCAAACCCATATCACTTCCTCAAGATTCCAAGTGAAACCCCAAAATACTAAGGCAGGCAACGTGGCAACTCAGAGAAGCAGAAGCAGCGTCAGAAATGGCACCTTGTTCTTAAGCTGAGAAGAAACTTACAGTGTGGCTTCCTTTTCCTTCAGCTCCCTGGCTCTTTCAAGTTCTTCTGAATTTTCATGGGCATTTCCTAAGATAGTCTTACTTCTCAGCATAAAGGACAGAAAAAAATTGCAATTAATTTTTTTAAATGGCAAAGCTGTTAATGGTTTTGTTGCAATTTATATCTTAATGATTTTTACCCCAACCCAGAAGAAACAAGCACCACTGATTTTCACTGAAGATATACATGGTTCTCTCCAAAGCCATCCCATAAATCTATTCTCTCCCAAGGATCCAACTGAGAATATGATTTCTTAAAACTTCCACTTAAGTATCAGCAATTAAGTTAACAATCAAGTTGCCCACCTTTCTATAAACATTCTAAACTTCCCAAGTAAAGAAGTAGTGACTTAGCTGAAACTTCTTTGACTCCTACCACATTCCCCACTGCCTCCTTACCAGCTCAGCATCTCATTTGTCCAGAAATGGGGTCCTATTCACCCTTCATCTGCCAGAACAATTCTTCACCATCCAAAATTCCTTTTCCAGCTCTTAACAGAGGAAGTGTATTGTTTCCCCACCCTTTTCACCACCCCCAATCTATTCCAAGTGAATTGTCTGGAGCTTGGCACATAGTAGATGCTCAATAAATGTTTGTTAAGCAATGTTTGTTAATAACCTGTACGCCTAAGGGATCAGAATGCTACATCTGATATTATTATTTCTATTTATTATATAACTATGAAGAGGAAACAAGCAGTATTTTTCAAACTACAGATCATAAGCCATTACTGAATTGTGAAATCGACTTAGTGGGTTGTAGTCAGCAATATTTTTTATCTAATGAAATACAGAATATGTCAGAATGCATCACATATGGTAAAAGTAAATATGATTTTATGAAAACTTTATTTCCACTTTACATACTAAACTATATACATGTGAATGTGCATATTGGGTCATGACTGTAAGATGGTATTTCTCACTGTGGGTCACCATCTAAAAGCCATTGCTCTACAAGAAAAGCAATTAGCACTGACCCAGAATCAATTTCACAGCACAAGGCAGCAAATAATTCAATAGTTCTTCAAACAGGGTCACCTAAAAGTATTCCTATGAAGGAGGCCCTTCCTTAAGCTTCCAAGAACAATTTCATCAACTGTGGGCATCTCTCCCACCTTCTTCCCTTGAACTGCTTCACTTATTTCTGTTTTCCATTCCTATCCACCTAGAATCCAAACATGCCCTGAGCAACCAACTTCCTCTCCTCTAGCTCCTGAAAGAGCATTCATGCCCAGGTTTGGAGCAATGGTGCCTAGTTTACATGTATTGACGCTGAATTTAAAGGCTGTTGGGATTATGCATGGGTGGATGTTTTTGACATATGACATATATATTAGCAAATGTAAGTTTTATAGCAAATGAAGCATTTAAGTGGTGATGATGAAAACTATGGTATATGTCAAAATAAATTACAACAGATTTTGAATGAACCATAAACTCGAGCTTGACAGCTACACTTGGGATTCAACCCAAAGAACAGAGAAGTAATTGTGCAGTGACATGTAATAATCAAACATAAATTGACCAGAAAAGGAAAGCCCAGGTTTGGAATGAAGCAAATCTAACTCTTTTGGGTTAGTCTAACTCTTTTTCCATGAGGTGATATGAAGAAAACTTAGCAATCCTTCCCCACCACTCCCCAACCCTGTTCCCAGAGGAAGCATGAGCAAGGCTGTTTTTACTTTCTATCCATGTCTGATGCAGCGGCATAATGCAAAGCTGTGCGTCCCCAGTCATCAGTTTCATTAACGTTGGCCCCTGTGGTCACTAATGTCTCAATACAGTGGAAATGACAATTCGCAGCTGCATAGTGCAAAGGGGTCCTGAAAAACAAACAGCAATTTATTACTTCATTCAGTCTGGAAAACAGGCCCGTTGTTAGCACTAGCATGGGCAGCAGTATGCCTAGGGGCATGGAAAGCTCTTAGACTCTCACAGTGTGTGGAGATCAAAGTCATGCCTTCCTTTTTTTTTTTTTTTTTTTTTTTTTTTTGAGACGGAGTCTCGCTCTGTCGCCTGGGCTGGAGTGCAGTGGCCGGATCTCAGCTCACTGAAAGCTCCGCCTCCCGGGTTCACGCCATTCTCCGGCCTCAGCCTCCCGAGTAGCTGGGACTACAGGCGCCCGCCACCTCACCCGGCTATTTTTTGTATTTCTTAGTAGAGACGGGGTTTCACCGTGTTAGCCAGGATGGTCTCGATCTCCTGACCTCGTGATCCGCCCATCTCGGCCTCCCAAAGTGCTGTCATGCCTTCCTTTAACTACACAAGTTAGGTATCCCTTATCTGAAATGCTTGGAACTAGAAGTGTTTTGGATGGTTGAGCATCTTTTATTCAAAAATCCAAAATTCAAAATGTTCCAATGAGCATTTCCTTCGAACATTATGTCAGTGCCCCAAACGTTTCAGATTTTGGAGCATTTCAGAATTTGGATTTTCAGATGAGGGGTGCTTAACCTGTATAAACTGGAAGTGAGGCTATAAAGACAGTGGCTTCAAACGAGGCCATCTACCATGGATCTGTCCTTTCTTTTCCTTCTTAGAGCCTATCCTAGTTCAGGTCTACATTATTGCTTTTTTGGACCATTGCCAGCCCATCCTATTGGCTTCCTTAGCTCTAACCAAGTGTCCATAATTTCTAGTTAGTATAAATGAAGAATTTTTTTTAAGGTGCAATACCCACATATAACAATCATGTTCTAAAACCTTTGGTTCTCTCTACTAACCAAAGACTTGATTCCTCAGCCTAGAATTGTAGACCTTCCAAAACTGGTCCCAATCTCCTTTTGATGGGGTATCTCTCTCCCCTAGATGTACCCATTAGAATAACCAAAGCGGATGACTTGAGGCTTTCTGGATCATGTTCACACTTCCCCCCAACCTTTGTCCAGGTTGGTTTACCCCCAGGAATGCCCATTCATGAATCACTTCCACCCATCAAAACCCCACTCATCATCTTGTTCCAGGGGCTAGTTCTCTTTATTTTGTCTGAGATGGCTTAGCTACTCTCTGGGTCTCTCTTGAGTTCTCATCACATACTGCCTTGATTTTAGCACTGGTGTATTGTCTCATCCTCCCCACTGAACTGCAAGCTCCTTGAGGGTAGGGATGTTGGTTAATGGGAAGAACAATGCAGAATCCGAATCCGAATCAGAAGCCCTGGGTTCTGGCATTGGCAGATGTGCAAGCTGGCCCAAATCACATCCCCTCTCTGGATCTTGACTTCTTCACCCTTATTTCAATAAGAACTTTTGAGCTACTGTGCCCTACCTAAGGTCCTTCTAGGTCTAAAATTCTGTGTATATGTGCAAATCATTTAGTTTCTCTCTTACTAGTTGATTTTTCTCCTCTTTAGTTCAAAAAAAAAGAAATTTTAAATATTTTACCTATTGGATTACACATGTTTTAATTAGACTGAAAATTATCAGGTAACAACCTCATGACAGAGCCCAAATATAAACACTCTAAGGTCCTGCTAGGTCTAAAATTCTGTGTACACGTATAAATCATTTAGTTTATTTGGGCTCAGCTTTCTCATCTACTAAAAGGGGTAACAGCATCCCCACATACCTCATAGAGTTAGTATCAGAAAACACAAGCACCTTGTAAAGGGCAAGACTACAGAAATATAAAGTAATTTGCTGTACATTACTTATTTTTAACTCTCAATTGTGCAGCAGTTTTTCTGGTATGACCAGCTGATAGTCAAAGAATAATAAACAAATGATCAATTTTCAAGTATAACTATTTCATATTTTATAGTCAATTTATGGGCTCTCTCACTAATTGATTTTTCTCATCTTTAGTTCAAGAGAAGGAAATTTTAAATATTTTACATATTGGATTGCATATGTTTTAAATAGACTGAAAATTACTAGGTAAGAACCTCACGACAGGGCCCAAAGATAGAGAGAAAATGATACCCAGTTCTTGTCCTGAGGAGGCTCACAGTCAGGTGGGGATGTCAGAGACATGTGAACCATAGCAACTCCATCTTGAATAAGGGCTGGGTAAGATGAGGCTGAGACCTACTGGGCTGCATTCCCAGATGCTTAGGCATTCTAAGTCATAAGATAAGACAGGAGGTCAGCACAAGTTATAGGTCATAAAGACCTTGCTGATGAAACAGGTTGCAGTAAAGAAGCCGGTCAAAACCCACCAAAATCAAGATGGCAACAGGAATGACCTCTGGTTGTCCTCACTGCTACACTCTCACCAGCGCCATGACAGTTTACAAATGCCATGGCAACATCAGGAAATTACCCTATATGGTGTAAAAAGGGGAGGCATGAATAATCCACCCCTTGTTTAGCATATAATCAAGAAGTAACTATAAAAATGGGCCACCAGCAGCCCTTGGAGCTACTCTGTCTATGGAGTAGCCATTCTTTCATTTCTTTACTTTCTTAATAAACTTGCTTTCACTTTACTCTATGGACTCGCCCTGAATTCTTTCTTGCGCAAGATCCAAGAACCCTCTCTTGGGGTCTGGATGGGGAGCCCTTTCCCGTAACAGGGAGAGAGACAAGGAGTCAGAGTCCACAAGAACAGCATGAGGTACTTTGCAGTCATGAATGATTAGGGTGCTAGAGGAGCAGAGAAGAGGGGCATGCCCATCGGTGCACGCCCATCGGTGCACAAGGAGGTGTCACTGACATAAATCTGAGGGCGGGTAGGAGTTGCCTTAGACAAGTTGGTAAGAGGAGAAATTTGTGGCAACCCCAGAGAAGGAGGGTACATGTAGAAAGGAAGGGTAAAGAGATACAATGGGAAAAAAAAATTATACATATGTATATACATGAAAAATATATATCCACGTACCAGCTAGCATCATGGCATCATTTACTTATATAAAGGATCATTAAAGTAAGAAGAGTTCTATGACCCATTGGTGGTGTGTATGCACTTAATGTTTTAAACATGTGTACTTAATGTTTTAAACATGGCTGAAAATTCATCCCAAGATGAAATGTTCAATACATATAATAAAATATTCTAGATCTTATGAGTAGGACTTATGTATTCCACTCTGCTAGAAACAGGATTTTCCAAACTATATCCATGTAGGAGTTTTGTTTTGTCTTTTAACTGAAAAAAAAAGAGAGACAATTGGCACATCTAAACAGCAGCTGTGAGTGGAGATGCTTTCTTTGTGGCTTGTTATTTGCTTTGTTGGCAACCTCTATGAGAAAGGACTTCCTTCCGAGGAGGATGGAATCCCCCCGGCTAACTTCCCAGTTTACCATTTCAACATCACTTGATTACCAGATAGACCACTCCTACTTCCTTTTATTTAAGCACTTGAAGCAGAACTCTCTGATTACATACCTCCCACACTTGTCCTTTTTATGGAAATCTGCTCCGCTGCTTTGCAAGAGTTTTATACATTCCACATTACTAGAAAGACAGGGAAAACATCATTAAGATGGAAGAGATCAATTACTGGCCTATCTTCAGCAAGAGCTATTTTCTGCAGAGTGCAGGACAAGATGAAAAGATAGCTCCCGGTCTAAATTCGGCTAATAAAAACCTGAACATATTAGAGTAATGACATATGGTAAGGATCTAAAGTTCCTATGATTCCTTTTTCAAAGCTAATGAATCAATAGATTAAAGAGCTTGGTGGAACATTTTCAATTCCATGACTAAGAAATTTAATGATTATTACACGATTAAACCCTCCGGTGATGGTTTCATCATTTATCCTAAAATTCTTTTTCAAAACCATCAAGAGTTTATGAAACAACCACTTAAACCTATAATAATTTCATGTCACCTTTAAACAATGAGCCAGAGTGGATGGGCGTTACCTTCTATCACAGCAGAATGAATTCACTATGATAACTACTTTCAACCCAGACACTCCTTAATGGAAAATAAAACAACTGTATTTCCCTGTCTTTGTAATTTACGCAAATAAATGTGCAGAACCAAGGTTGAAAATGATGTCATGGAGCACAGTGATCTTCCATAGCTTCTTTATCATTTGCAGAAGCAATAAATCATATTTAGTAGAGAGAAAAGGACCCATCAAAGTGATTTTTTCCTATTAAAGGGCATGTAGCTAAATAGTAATTCTAATAGAATTTCAGACATGAATCTGGAATTCTATGTTGTCACTTTCTGTACAGGTGTGATATTTTTTAAATGTGAGCATAAAAAAGAGACAATTGTCCATCATTGTTCTAAACTTAGGATGCTAGAAGTGGCCTGGAATTATTACTATAATTTAAATAAGAAAAATCATCTCAATGATAAACCTGAGTAGGGCTCTCCTCATCCTACACCCACCCTTTATAGCTACCTTCTCAGAGAAATAGCTCTTTCAATCATAACATATAAGAACTTTTTAAGATAAGTATGTGTTGGTATAGCACCCCAGCTGATATAAAGCACCTGTCTCTTACTGAATGATGCCAAAGGATCAAAGGCAGTAGCAGATCCAACTTGTGTGGCTCATGAAGCTCATACAGTGTGGGGGCTGAGGTGGGGGAAGGGGTCTTTTTAAAAAATAATACAAAATTATGACTACAAATCTAGTTATAAGAATTCAGAAGGGACTCACGTAAATAAGGAGCCCTAAAGTGTCACCATTTATCCACCTCTGATAAATAGGTAATGACTTTGGTAATATACAAATGACAAATGGAGAAGCACTGCTGTTCCTTAAGGACCAGGAACCTGATTAAGAACCAACATCTTCCCCAAACAAGGTCATCCAAGAGATGCCATGTTTAGTCCATGTGTGGTCACATGTATCAATAACATATTGATCAGAGCTTCAATCTTACCACTGGTATGTGAAAAGAAAGTAGCTGAGGAAAAATTCTCTTTACAACTTAAAAAAAAGGTAAGAATTGCCTGTCTTTTGGGTTTTCTTGACCTATGTTCACATTTAATCATTAAAAGACTAAAAATCATATTTGAAATAATGAAAAAATGTCTATAAATGAACATAAATTAATTCAATCCTTGATTCTTTTGATTATCACCCACATACCAGCAACAAAAGAGGAAAAACCTAGGAACAAATTTCAAATTATTTTCTTTTGGTATATGGAGTAACAGATATGTATTCTATAGCCTGAAAATCTATAATTTAAAAAAAGAAAAGAAAGAAAAGAGAAAGAAGAAAACAAAAAAAACTATTTGTTATTTGAGATGGGCTAATAATTTTTCTTTGGTGAAACAAAATGCACGTGATGTGGGGAAATATAACACAGAGATATTTGATCGTTGGTAGAAATAATTCTTACTTATTTTACTAAGGAAATTGCCTTTGATTCACAGACAACTTAAGTCGATAAAGATGAATTAGTAATTAAGTCATAAATTAACTAGAATTGCTAACTACTCACCCTCCTGCAGCAGCAGCATGAAGGCACGTTCTTCCAAATTTATCTGGGGTGTCTATTTCAAAGCCTGCAGACAGCACGTGCTCATTACTAAACAAGGATACTATGCTATACTTTTGTCCTAGTTAAACCACAAGAAACATTGCAGAGACAGAAAAATCAGTTAGTAGAAAAACCAGAATGCAAGCAATTGTAGTCAGAAAGAGGTTGTCATGGAAACGAATGGTAACTGCTCAAGCTTGTCAATTTTATAGGAAGAACCGTGAAGTCAAGAAGGATTTATTTTAACATTCAGCCCTGGGTGAACCACAGCCCCATTTTTTAATCCCAGGATAGAAATTTATGAAACCAATTTGAGATAAGTAGGGCAATCGACAGGCAGATAGAACTCATGGACAAAACATGGAGGCAAAGGAATAATCTTAGCATGCTGGAATAGACATTTTCTGAAGTATATTTCAACCTTTCAGTTGGTTTAAGAGTTGGGAAACATGCTTGCATGCAGGGATTATTTTCTAAACATGCCAACAGCAGTGAAAGCAGAATCAGCCATAGGTAAAGTACTTAAAGGAAAAAAAATGCCTCTGGGATATCTGATGAATTAATTCATAAACAATCTTTGCCTTGCAGACCTCTACCACTTTTGAAAGCCCAGGAATTTCTTAATATATGACAGTTGGCAGAGGTAGTGATAAGAAAGATTAGCAAAGCTCCAAACCAGAAACAATCTCTTGGCTCCAAATAGTCTCATATTTAAAAAATCGAAATTAAACCTAGTTGGAGGAAATCAGCCATAGTGATTTTTCAATGCCCAGAGAGTGGGAAAGTAACATGACGTTTTCTACCACCAGATGTAGGGTATTTAACCTTTTTCCTTTGTTGAAAAATATTAAATGCTAATCCATCATTTTAAACCTCAAAGACTTTTCCTTCTTCTGTGACGTAACTTTTCTATAAACTCTGGCCATCCCTGCTTCTTTTCACCCTAGAACACCCAAGCTTTAACGTGAAAAGCAGGCAAGACTCTCATTCTGGGGCAGGAATAATGACATTCAAACAGCTTTAACACCAAGGATTGTTGGGAGCTGTCACATGCAGTTAGTTGAGGAACACAACTCATCCTGACAAGTCAGGTAATGACATGAAGCACAGGCAGCCACTCACTCTGACCAGACACCTGAAGCCATTGACTCATGTACAGGACACATTAAGCCTCATTTCTGCTAATGGTTTTACTTACCTGATGATAACAACTTTCTGCAGCAGTCAGAGTGAGCATTTAGGGCAGCTAAATGTAAAGGGAACATGCTATGGATTCCACACCTGAGGAGTAAGAAAACAGAGGCGCTCACGGCAACAGATCTCAAGATAAGTGCGGAAGGACAATTACCTTTCTAGATTCTCTGATGAAAATTAACAACACCTTGTGTAGGGAGTCTTGGCTGAAATAATTCGGTAATTCTTCCATTCAATAAATAATTATGCAACCAGTTTCTATCTTAAAATAATAAATGCCTGAATCAAAACCATAATTAAAAGCCCATTGCCATAGGAATGTATATTTAAAAAAAAATCTGTTTCACATAAAGCATGACTCTTTAAATTTAAAATTAATTTTCCTCTCATTTTCTTTCACCTTGGCAATTGTATGTCTCATTCTCTCATTCATCTATTCAACACTTTCTAAGCATCATAGACTATGCTAAGGGCTGGAGATAACAATACTGAGCAAAACAAACTCAAGTTTGAAAAGCAACCTGTTTCCTTTCTTTCTTTTTTTTCTACTTTTTTTTTTTTTTTTTTTTTTTTGAGACAGAGTCTCACTCTGTCACCCAGGTTGGAGTGCAGTGGTGCTGATACAATGATAGAAGCAGGGGGCAGAGAAATTCTAGGCAGAAAAGGGCAGGTTCTGAGCAAAACCCCATACTCAAGCTGAAAAGCCTGAAACTGTGCCCCAAAGTGAGAACTTATATCCCTGTTTTCCCACTCAAATGTTGCCTTTTCCTAAACCACCCATGGCCCTCCTCCACCGAATCCTGTGTCTATAAAAACCCCAGACTCAGCTAGTAGACAGGACTATGGCTGAATGTCAGAGAGAAGCAGCTTGATTTCAGAGAGACAGCTTGATGGCATAACTTCGGAGGACAATCTGGCCAGAGACAGCTGGACTTCAGGGAATTATCTACCCATCCCGTCCCCTTTTCAGCTCCCCTTCCCACTGAGAGTCACTTTCATCGGCAATAAAATCCCCTGCATTTATCATCCTTCGATTTGTTCGTGAGACCTCATTTTTCCTGGATGCCAAACAAGAACTCAGGAGCCACAAGTGCAGATATAAAAGGCTGTCACATTGGCCCTTTGCCCTCGCTGGGGGAGGCCAGCTGCCTCATGCAAAAAGGCAAAGGACCCACTGAGCTGTTAACACTTAACCCAACCATGGACGGCAGAGTTCAAAGAGCACTGTAACATGCCCTCGGGAGCTTTGGGAGTTGCAGGCACCCCCGCCTGGATGCCGCTGCAGGGCCTGCACAGAGTTCACTCCTGCCAGTGCCAAAGCAGCCAGCTGGTTCCAGCACTCATTCACTCCAGTTCCCATGCTCATTCGCTCACGGGTTCCTTCCAGCGAGGAGTTGAGAGTGGCAGGCTGAGTAAACAAGGTACCCCTGTCACAAGTACCACAAAGTGGTCAGGGAAATATTCTGCTTCAGTGTAATCACAGCTCACTACAGCTTTGACCTCCCTGGGCTCAGGTGAGCCTCTCACATCAGCCTCCTGAGTAGCTTGGACCACCACAGGCACACATCACTATACCCACCTAATTTTTTGGTGTATTTTGTAGAGACAGGGTTTTGCCATGTTGTCCAGGCTGGTCTTGAACTCCGGGGCTCAAGCAATCTACCTACCTTGGCCTCCCAAAGTGCTATGATTACAAGCATGAGCCACCACGCTCAGCCCTTGTTTTATGTCTTGATTTGATAAACAAATATTATTGTTGTATTATGTCCCAAGCACTTTGCTAGGGGTTAATCATGGCTACATTGTTGAGAATAAAGTTTTGGATGAGAATAAAAACTAATGTTTGCCTTTTGCTGATCAAACTTCATCTTCCTAATAAATTTTTATGTTGCACATTAACCCACATCACAATACCAGTCACAAAAACACAATTGGGGGTAACAAACATTACTTTGCTTTCATAAACCTAGTAGTATTAACGAGAGAATCTAGAAAAGGACTTTATAGACTGACCCCCCACTAAGACACAGTCCCCAGGATGACCTCTTAAGGGACAGGCAGCCTTCTGATGGCAGCACTTTTTTGCCTTCGGGATTAAATCCTCCTCGTCTTCCCTACTACATCTTCTTCAACAAGGACCCAAAGCCATGTGCTGAATTGTGGTTCATAACAAACAGCATCACCAGGTGGCTCCTGTGTACTTACAAGCATCTATAATGTTAGTGACCACTTCTCATAACACCTCATTTTAATCAAATAATACATTTCAGCTTTTTAAAACCTTCTACTTAATACAAACAAGTATGGGACTGTATCTGTTTACACCCTGCAGCATTAAATGCCTAAGTCTCCTCTCTGGCACAAAGTGGCCCATTTTCAGACTCCATGCTTCATAAAGAAAACGTATGATTTGAATTTGTTAAGCTTTGGGTACATACATTTTATTTACCATCTCAAAAATTATTATGGTGATGTGTGTGTGACTGTGTAAAAGGATATACACATTCACAGACATTTCATGGTATTCAGTGTTTTGCAAAATTCAATTCTGTCAGCAATTAGCCACTGTTTTCTCTTTCCATAATAGCTTCTTCCTATTTAAAGGTGGTTTTGTTCAGTCTTCCCTCTGTTTGTTTTCCTTTCCCTATATGGAGATTCCAGCCCAGTGTGTATAATAGCTGGCATCCATCAAGTGATGCAATTTGCTCGTCTTCCAGGCAGCGTCATGTGGAGAAGAACTGCTTGTAATTGCCTCTCTCATCATTTACCAAAAAAAAAATCCTGAAATGCAACTGCATCAGTGATGACCTTGACGTTCTGAAAAGGGAGAGGGAGTTGGGGCATAGGAGAGAAGCTTTTCTACTTATGCTATTATTTATATTGTTCCCTCCTGATTCGAGAGAAACATTCTTTTTTTTTTTTTTTTTAATGCACAACATGTTTTAAAACCTCCTTATTAAATGGAAGCTAAAGCTAATGTGATTTTACCTAATCGTTTTATTTGTTTTGGGAATTTAAGGCAAAAATATGTGATTAAATATATCTGGACATTTAGAAAAGGAAAATGGATAGAATATTTTCATTCCTGAAAGAATGTGCCTGGAATCAAGGACTGGATTTCTCAAGATTTCTTTGAGCCTTTCTCATTCTTTAAATGCATACATACATACAAACACACACACACACACAAATATGTTCATACACACCCAAAAATAAAAATATATATACACATAATATATATACAATATAGTTTATAAAGTTCCATATATATCTTTATGTAAAACCATACAAGCAAATGAATTTGAGGAAATAGCATCAAACTCTATAAGAAACCACTTGGGACAAACAAAAAGTATAAGTGATAGTATAACAGAAACAATATGATATATTCCATAAACCTCATTATCAATATTTCCAATCAATCTTGCCACTTAAAACCCATCTTTGTATAATTCATCACATTCTACATTCCCTGATTTTTTTTCACTGCTCCTTACAAACCTGAGAAGATAAGAGAGATAGAACCACTCTAATTTAAAAGGTCTAGTAAAAATTATGTTTGATATATATTTTTTACTCCACAGTGAATAAAAAGTTACTACTTCAGTGCAGGATTTGAAAATAGATTCATGTAGACTCAAATACTATTGGCATTTGCACTTGTGTATGAAACTATGGTTCAAATAGTAAAACTAAGTTTCAAGCCAAGATTGGAAAGAAAAGCAGAATTCAGTGTCCCTGAATCAATTCAGAAATGATTTATGTATTTCAAAATAAAATTACTACTTTATTTTTATAAAATAAGACTTATCATAAAGGAAAGATTATAAAACCTTTAGCAGGAAAATCAGAACTTGGCTGTCTTAGCCAATTAAGAAGCATCACTCTTACTTCATCAGGTATACGTCAAGGAAGATCAAGAATGGAGGTGCCAAATCACACCAAAGTTAACAATGCATAAGTTACACGGAAGAGGAGAACAATTCCGGTTAAATTGCCACATTTATTTGACCAGTCATTAAATTAATGGAACACATTTATATTAGCTAGTTCTAATTTAGCTGTTAGTTGGCATCTCCTACCCAGTTATTTCAGAATCAATGAGGTCTGCAGGCCTGTCTTGCAGAGAGCTATTAGAAGTGAAGAAAGAGCCTTTACACGATTAGAATTTGGGGTCTTTGAAGCTTTCCCCTTGGCATCAGGGAGACGTGGCTGCCCTCCCTACATCCAGTCTTTTCTAGAGCCGCCTTCTTTAGGCCATGTGGGTAAAGAACATATGATTAAAGTGACAGAGTCAGAAACTTGGGGTTTGAGTCCTCATTTTGCCACTTGCTATCTACTTCATCTTTGGCGAGTGCATAATGGTTCCCTCCTCGGAAAAATAAGATAATTACAGTGACTCTATCATGGAGCAACTGTTAAGGACCCATTGAGATAATGTTCACGTAGTGCTAAAAGGGAGCATCAGTCACATGGAAATCCTTTACCACACATGTTAGTATGATTGTTGCCCTTGCAATCCATATAAGCTTAACTGGTCATCAGCAGTAGATGAGTTTTGAAGTTGTAATCAGGTTGTACTTCCTTAAAATCAGGTGTATGATTCCTTAAAAGCCAAGAATGAATCATGATCAGTTAACATTTCTGTTATCTTTCTGTGTGTCTAAATTCTTCATAATATTTACCTCACAAGTGTCCCAGCAAAGTGGGGTTGTTTTAGCTTTGCTCACTGAGTGGGTGAGACAAAAACATTTCCTAAATTTAGAATAGGATGATTTTGATTTTTTACCCAAATGATCAGTCCAACTAAACAAACCAATTTCTTATGAATTTTATCTATGCAATTCCAAGTATTTATTATGCACCCTTAAGTGACAGCCATGAGACCTGGTCCTTGTTATTTGCAATGAACAGATGTTTTCAGTGGTTCCTTTTGAATCAAGTTTAAACACTCTAAAGTGGCTGGAGAGGCCCCTTCTCTATCTGGCTGTTGTCTAATCTGCATATTCTAGAATCTCAATAAACTTGTTTCCATTCCTCTAAGTGCCAGGCTCTGTCCTGCCCCCAGGCCTTTGCACATACCAGTCCCTCTATCTGAAACTCTCTTATCTTTCTCTCCTGCTTCTCCCATTATTTCTCCAATTAATCAGTGCATCTCTGAAGCACTGGAAATATCTTTGGGATCTCAAGAGTTCTCGGTGAGAATCTTTAACCTGTATTTTCCTTTTCATGATAATCTAAAACAACTGGCATAAAAGCATTTTTTTGGCTCATCGGAGTGGCCCTTTATTACCACATACCTCTGCCTAATTTCAGTGCCCATGTTTGTACTGAGGATCACACTGGTGTTAGTGTAGTACTGGCATGGGCCAGTGAGAAAAGAATAAAGATGGGCTCAATAGACAAGTGACAAGACTGAACCTAGGGAGGCCCAACGATAATGCAGTACCTGAGCCTTCCATATAAACAAAATTTGGCAGTAGTTTGAATAAGGGGTTCTGTGCTGCATGCCAAGTCCACTGTTCCACCACTTTAAGCCACTGCAAAACCTCCATTCTTGAAGTGTACACTGAACTCTAAAGAGCCTGCACCTCAGCCACCAGGACCATAATCCTACACAAATGGTGATTTCACTTTGGCAAAATGTGAACTATCACATCATCTGTTATGTAGGGGCAGCAAGCCACGTGCTCAGGAGCTGAGGGTCCAGATCCAATGGACCGAAGATGAGTCCCATTTCTACCCCTTACTGGCTCTGTGACCTTGAGCAGGTAACTGAACCTCTCTGTGCCTCATTTACACATTCCCATTTAAGATGGGAATAATCATAGCACTTACCCCATGAGGTTATGGTGAAAGTTAAATGTAACCCCTCAAAGCAGTGCCCAGAGGGAAGCAGTCATAATGTTTGCTACTACTAAATTGTACAGTTAACATGAATGGTGTTGGTTTCTGTTTGCATGTATTTTGTAATTTTTAAATATATTAATTTGTTAGTGTCAAAAGCCTAAGGAGTTTATCTAGTTTACATTTATACATATTTATGTATTATTATAATAAAAACAAGTATATACTGAGGATCTAAAAGACTCTTGCTACTATGAGCTAACTGCTAGTCACCCTTCAGTCTTGGTTAACCTTTACATCTTGCTTCTCTAGTCTTGCGAGACTGGGTTCCACATCTTAGATATGTTTTCACACATCCCAGTGGCACCCAGCAACTGCTCTGGCATTACACTTAGCGTGCATGATTGTATTGCTTGTTTAAATCTTGCTCCCAGGAGATTATAAATTCCTCAAGGGCAGGGACCTCTATAATCCCAGAACCTGGCATCGTAGGTACCACTTAGGCCCTCAACCAATATTTAATGAATGAATGAATGTCAGAGCCAGCTATCTATAAACTATCATACCCCTAATTCTGTTGCAGTTGAGGCAGAAAAAGAATGCAAATAGGCAATTTGCCTATTTGGTAAGCAAATAGGCAAATTAAAATCCTGGAGACAATCCCCAAACTAACAAAATTAAAGAAGATAAACCAAACGGCTTTGACACTATGTAAAGTTGCATGAGCACTGAGTCAAACCATAGGAAGTGACTCTGACTTAAAGTTCAGAGAAGCAAAAAGAATAACAAAGAACATTCTAGTCAAGGGCTGACGTTTACTTTAGATTCAAATAAATTCGTAAGAAAGTAATAATGATAAAACTTGTCATAGAGAGTTAATTTAAATACGTTTGGCTATATTGCTTATGAATGAAGATGGGTTCTTTCCACAAATGCTATTTGTTTTTTCACTTATTTATGAAAGGCCTATTTTTCTCCTTTTTAATAATTCTATAAGGAACCCAGAGAACAGTGATTTTCTGAGAGGCTTTTGGCAAATTTAATCTTCTCCAATTACTCTTCCCTTCATTTTGTTATTTTGCCCTAGGGTGGTTTCCATTCTCCCCCACACACAAACACACAAAGGCACTTACACACACACATACAATCACTGCCCTAAGGAACCATTGTCACTGAAGGTAGCATGTCGCATCCCCAGATTCATTGTGACAAAGAAAGCAGACATGGCTCTTTGAGGCTGAGACAATGTTTCCCTTATCTGTGTCCCTAGGACATAGCAGAGACAATGGAAGAAAAGGCTACTTGAACAACAATGCTATTTTTAAGGCATTTTTGCTACATGGTCTGTGTTTCCATAAATTGAAAGCAAAATAATTACAAGGAAATGAATTTCAATCATATTGAATTAAATGGTTTTTACGGAAAAATTTAAAGTAACTATTGGGTCCAGCTTATTTTTATTCCTAAAATGGATTCAAGTCTAGAAGAAAATCAGACATTCGTAATTGTTTGGCTAAAATTTCCCAAGTAACCCAAAGCTGAAAAAAATACCACTGAAAATATTAACACATTACAGGTAAAATCAGTTGGTGCCTAAATTTTTTTTCTGCTTAATTAACACTGAGCATTTATTGCAGTCTCTAGCTTTGGACATCCACAATCTGGTTGGGAACTCCAGAACCTGGTAAGAGCATCCTGAATCTTAGTGTAGAGCTCTTTCCACAAAACTGAGAGGCTTATTTTAACTTACAACATCCCAACTAAAAAGTTCTTTTGGCTCACAGCAGATTCCCCTCTCTTCTGTAAAAAGACATCCCACTGCTAATACTATTTGTCAGCATTCTCCTCTTCTGTCATCCCTCAGCCTCATCTTTAGCCCAAGACCTCATCTTTTCTTCCCTGGACATCTGCAAGAGGCTGCCAAGCGTTTCTAGCCTGGACTGCCTCCAATACGTCTGGACCGCCTCCAGTATGTCTGGACTGCTATCAGAGGGATCTTCTTACACACAAATGGGATCATTAGACACAACCTGTTCTACACCCACTATAATTCTTTAACAGCTTCCGAATGACTCAGAATGGAATCTAATTCCTTAGCAGGACTTGCAAAGTCCTTTGAGATGTGGCTCTTCCAGCCTTTCCACCTCATTTCTTTCCACTCCACCCACCAAACATCCAATGACCCAGCTTTAGAAATGTGCTTTTAACATGTTCACATGTTTATGTCTTTATAACGACTGTTCCCTCTTCTTGGGATATTCTTTCTTGCTCCCATTTCTCTTTCTACCCCATGATTCTGTCCATCTAGCAAACTCCTACATATCCTTCCTTTTGTTACAACATTGTCTCTTCTCAGGGATCCAGAAAATTAGTGTCTCTCTCTCTCACTCTGTTCCCACAGCCTGGGACAAACATCCGTCTTAACAAACTTCACAATACACAGTCATTTGTGTTTGTTCTTATCTCTATTGCTAGACTGGGAGGTGTTTGGAACCCAGTTCAACTTAATATTGGACTGATGAAGATAAACCATTATATCCTGCCAATCTACCAGAGTGCTTCACAAAATTCATTTTAAGTCCAGAATACCTGGCCCTCTGTGAATCTGATTTCATGATCCCACTACATTTTCCCCAGACCATTTCAATTTTAGCTCATTCTCGTATAAGACTTTCAACTGTGTTGCACAAAACTGACAAATAAAACAAAATTCCTAAGATACACTGCCCTCATATGGTTTTTCCTCTAAAAATTCAGTTACTGTTATACACAGTCTCTGTGATCAAGGCTAAACTCTTTATTCAGGGATTGAAGGCCCTCTTTAATTTAGTTCTACTACCTATTATTAAATAATAAAATAATAGCTAACATATATTGATAGCTGACTATGTGCCAGGCACTGTTCAAAGAGCTTTTAACATGGGTTATCTTTTTAATAACCTTAGCAGATGTATTTGTAGAACTCATATAGATCTTACCAGATACCAAAGAGCTTTACTAGTAATTAAGTCATTTAATCTTCATAACAAACCTATAGATAAGTCTTAGTATTACTACAATTTTTCCAATGAGGCAAGGGGCTTAAAGTCACACTGCTCACAAGGGAAGCAGCTTGGATTGGCCTCAAGGGAGCACCCACCAAAGCCTGGGCTCCCAACCACCCTGGGTCCTGCCCCTGGGTGGCGCATAGCATCACCACATTCTCTACTCTGTCAGGCCAAGCTCTTCCCTGGTGTGGAGTCTTTGCCTCTTTTGTTCCCGCTTTCCTCCCTGCTTGGGATGGCTGCCACCCTTAGCTGTACTCAGATAATTCTCAGCCCCTAAAGCCTAGCTAAAATTCATCTTCTCCTTGAAGCCTTTTCAGAAAACACTGGCCACCTTTGAGCTCTCTCCTCCCTGTCTATATTCTGTGACACAGATTGTCTACACCAAACATTTGCCACTTAAGTCTGCTTCATTTAGAACTTTATGATATATGATGTTGCACAGTTCTTTGACTTAAGTGGGTCTTGGGCCCTGAACAAAATTATGAGCTCCTTGAAACTAGATAACTTACATCTTCTGAAATCTCCCATAGCACCCAGCATAGATGCTTTATGTATTTTTGTGGAATTGAAGTTCAAAATGAAGTCAGGTTCCCCCTTCCCTACATAGCAGATTGACTCAATTGTACTCTATAACAGAAAAGCTGAGTAAGCACTCTGAATAAATTTTGAATTGGCTCAGTTATGTTTTACTTTTCCTGTTTAATATTAAGCATTGGGAAGGACAGAAGAATATTAGAAAGAAAAGTTGGGAATAAACTTCAAGTTTCCTTAATCAAAACCACTGAAATAGACCTCATTTGGATGAAGCTAAAAAATAAAATTGGTTCTTCTTTGCCTCTGTCATTAAAAGGCACTTAATTTATTTAAAATGTAATTTGTATTTAGTATAATGGTACAGATCCACCTTAAGCTGGATAAATAGGAACTATCTACTGCATGGAAGAATCTTTTCAGCAGTATTCCCACTTGAGGCAATTATTCCACCGTATTTTTGCGGTAACCTACTTGGCTGTGTCAGCTCCGCTGGTTATTAAGGTGTTAATCAAAAGCTCATGACCGTATCTTGCAGCCACATGGAGAGGAGTGTTGCCATCCTTATCCACACAGTCAATTTCACCTCCTGAAAAAGATATTTTAATACAGGATAACGCAAGGATTCAGGTTGATTCAGGTGCTACGTTCTCAGTTAGTCTCTTGTATCAACCAAATGTTGATTTCTTTCCTATTCCCGTTGTGCATCTTTGCTTTGAAGTACAAGAATGCTTTTAAAGGGGACAAGTCACCCTCTGAAGCAGTAGTAGTAGTAGTAGATCTGCGTAGACAGAAGTCTATTAGAAATGCTTTTGAGGCTGGGCTTGGTGGCTCACACCTGTAATCCCAGCACTTTGGGAGGCTGAGGTGGGTGGATCACGAGGTCAGGAGTTTCAGACCAGCCTGACCAACATGGTGAAACCCTGTCTCTACCAAAAATACAAAAATTAGCTGGGCGTGGTGGTGCATGCCTGGAATTCCAGCTACTCAGGAGGCTGAGGCAGCAGAATCCCTTGGGCCTGGGAGGCGGAGGTTGCAGTGAGCCAAGATTGCGCCACTGCACTCCAGCCTGGGTGACAAAGTGAGACTCCATCTCAAAAAAAAAAAAAAGAAAGAAAAGAAAAGAAAAATAAAAAGAAATGCTTTTGAGAAATCTTTCCATATTGTCTTAGTTAAGGATCCAAATCTCACAACTAAACACCTGCTCTGAATGAACAATGTATTCAAATCCCATAAAGTGTAATTCTGAAGACATGTTTAATTTTAATTGTCCCTCCTGAATTAAAGACCTATAACATAAGAACCAAAGGGGATGGAGAGTTCAGGAAATGATTTCATGTAATTTGATGATCTAGCTTATAATATTTTAATATTATGACTAAAATTAGTAAAAGCATATACAATAGACTGAAAATGCCTATATTTATAAAAACTATGACAATAATCATCCATACTTCTTTTAGTAATATTGTCATTATGTTTTATTTTGCCTTCTCTTCCCCCAGTTTTTATTTCACTAAATTTCTTTTTTCCTCTTCCCTTTGTGTGTGTGTGTATATGTACAATGGTCTATTCATCATTCATTTATCTGAGGAACCATTTAAGAAGTTAGATATCATAACATTTTACCACTAAGTATGTTTTTCCTAAGAACGAAGACATTTTTGCACATAACCACAATTCCATCATTTTACCCAAGAAATTTAACATTCATAAAATAATTTTATGTAATATTAGTGCATATTCCAATTTCTCAGACTGTCCCCAAAATGTGCTTTATAACAGTTATCTTGTTTTAATCCAGGATCCAATAAAATACCCTGATAGCACTCGGTTGTCATGTCTCTTTGTTTCCGTTAATCCAAGACAATCCTCCTGGCTTTTTTTTTTTTTTTTTTTTTTTTTAAGTTTCTCATGTCGTTGATATTATTGGAGGCCAAACCACGAGTTGTGTCAGACGCTCTGCATTCTGGAGTTGTCTTTTGGTTTTTTCATTATTGGATTCAGGCTAAACATTTTGGCAATAATGCCCAGAGCAGATGCGTGCTTCCCACTGCATTTTCTTAGCACACACATTACCAGGCGATGCAAAGTTTGACTACTTGCAATGGGTACCAACTTTCAGTTTGGGAAAAGAAAGAGTTCTGAAAATGGATGGCGGTGATGGTTGTACAACAGTGGGAATGCACTGGATACCACTGAACTGTACACTTAAAAATCGTTAAAATGATAAATTTTATGTCATATATATTTTACCACAATTAAAAACAAGGCTTTTTTTTTTTAATTGGTTAAGGTGGTGTCTGCCAGTACACTTACTGCAAAAATATCTTTTCCCCTTTGTAATTAACCAGCAATCTGTGGGGTGATACTTTGAGACTGTGCAGATATCTGATTTCCCAACAGACTTTTCCACAATAATTTTTAGCATATGTAGGGAGTACTTTGTTCAAAATTTATCTGAATTTTTTACTGTGTGCTTATATTATCAATATAAATTAGGTTCATTTGATTCTGTTTGCTTTCAAATTTTTTCACTGGGTTTTATTTTATTTTAATAATAAAATATTATTACATATTTTAATAATATGTAAAATACTTTACATTTCAAAAGTTAAAATATTTTTGAAAAGGCTTACTCATTCTTATCCCTTCCTCTTCACCCTCATACACATCCTATAGTAATCATTTTCATTAGTTTTAGTTTATGCTTCTGTGCTTCTCTTTGCAAAAAAAAAAAAAAAAAAAAGGAATTTCCCCCCTACTTAACAGTATATCCTATAACTCACTTCTAAAGATGACTTATTGGAGATCTTCCTGATTTTTGTACAGTTTTATTGGTTTCCATTGCACAGTCATACTAGTTTAGTACATTCATGTCCTATGGATAAGCATTTAGGTTGTAAATAACATTTTGCTATTATCTGGAATGCTGCAGTGAATAATCTCATAAGTATGTTGCTTCATATTTGTTAGATGTATCTTCAAGGTAAAGTTTCAGAAGGGAGATATCTAGGTCAAAGGGAAAATTAATATGTGGTTTTGTTAGATTTTGCCAGATTTCTCTCTGTAGGCACTGTGCAATTTTGCACTCTAACCAGCACAGTATGAGAAGCACTTCTCCTTATAGCCTCATCAAGCTTTTGAATATCTGCTGTCTAATGGGTGAGAGCTGGAATCTCTCTGCAGCTTTCATTTGCATTTCTCTTATTATAAGGGAAGTTCTCTTATATGAGGGAAGTTGAACATCTTTTCATAATTACAGAAGGACCATTTGTTTATCTTTTTCTGTAAACTATTTTTCATGACTTTTGCTCATTTTTCTAAGTTTGTGTGTATGTCCATAAACATACACACAATACTGACATCTAAACCATATACACACATCTATATATGCTAGGATAAGTAATATAAAACCCTGAGAAATAGAAATACATGAATGGCTTCAATCAATCTAGAAAGAGGTGATACATTTGTTTTAAGCACCTTATTTCTGATTGAGAAAGTATTTTCTTATTGTAGAAAATTTAGAAGATGCAGTAAAATAGAAATATAAAGAAGAAACCAGAAGTCATCTATAAATTCACTGATTATCCAAGATAGTCAGTACTAGTATTTTGGAATATTTCCTTCCAGTTGTGTGTATGTGTGTATGTGTGTGTAGAATTTTCCCACGGTTGAGTTCCTGGTGTAGAAAGAGTTTTTTAATTCTATGTTCTCCTTTAATGTTACATTACAAACCTTTCCATGTCATTAATTTTTTTCATTAATATAATTGTAAATGACTACATAATATCAGTATCTAGAGAAGTTACTTAGCAAGTCCCCAATTAATAAGCATTGAGGCCATATCCAAATCTTTGCTATTAAGAAAAACACAAGAATGAACATATTTACAAATAGTCTTTACATTTCAGATGATTTCCTTTAGTAACCTTTTTTTTCCCCTGAGATGAAGTCTCGCTTTGTCTGCCAGGCTAAAGTGCAGTGATGCAGTCTTGGCTCACTGCAACCTCCCCTACCCAGGTTCAAATGATTTTCCTGCCTCAGCCTCCCAAGTAGCTGGGATTACAGGTGCCTGCCACCATGCTCAGCTAAGTTTTGTATTTTTAGTACAGATGTGGGTTTGCCATGTTGGCCAGGCTAGTTTCGAACTCCCAAACGCAAGTGATCTACCTGCCTCAGCCTCCCAAAGTGCTGCAATTATAGGCGTGAGCCACCACGCCCAGCCAGCAACATTTTTAAAAGTAGGACTACTGGACTAAAAGTATGGAGACCCTTGATACATACTGGCAACAAACTTTTGAGAAAGGCTGTGCCCATTAGCATTCCCATCAGCAGTATACTCGAGCACTGTGCCAAAAAGAAGCCATTGAGAGTCTTCTCAGATCTGGGGAAAGAGCATCACCGGCCAGGACACTGTTCCTTGTAATAAGACCGTCCATAAGGTCCTCATCACATCTATATGGTCCTTCATTCCAATGAATCCTACTATTGGCCATTATAACTAATAACTCCCCAACATTTGTTTTCAGCAAACAATGCTTTTTTCTAGCCAGGTGTACTGGCAAAACGCAGGGCTAGAGTATAAGAATATTTGCTACAAAGTGAAATGATTACCAAAATGTGTGTGCTTTGTGAAGGGGACAATTGTTTCAAAAACTCCAATTAGTACACACAGGATTTTGGATGCGTCCCTCTACTCTCAAGACTTCCGTGTGTAGAATTTTGTTTGAAAATCAATTTGCTGCGGATAAGTTTACCCATTTAGGGGTTTGTAACTTAATAGCTGTTTACAAAAAGGGAATCCCTTTTTAACTGCCTGGGACAGAGAACTATAAATGGGAACTTGAATAGAAATACTGATCTTTCTTCAAATCTTTGTTTCTGTGTTACAGTGGGGTTTTTTGTTGTTGTTATTTTGGGGTTTTTTTGTTTTTTTGTTTTTTGGTTTTTGTTTTTGAGCCAGACTCTCGCTCTTGCTGCCCAGGCTGGAGTTCAGTGGCACGATCTTGGCTCACTGCAACCTCTGCCTCCCCAGTTCAAGTGATTCTCCTGCCTCATCCTCCCGAGTAGCTGGGATTACAAGCGCATGCCATCACGTTCAGCTAATTTTTGTATTTTTAGTGGAGATGGGGTTTCGCCATGTTAGTCAGGCTGCTCTTGAATGCTGACCTCAAGCGATCTGCCTGCCTCAGTCTCCCAAAGTGCTGGGATTACAAGTGTGAGCCATCGCATCTGGCCTTATTTTTAAAATGAATTGTCCAAATAATAAAGTATGATCACTTTTGTAAAGTAATAATTAAATATCTTTACATATATTCTTAAATACATAGAAAAATCCAGAAGTGTCACCAAGCTGCCAATAAAAATTCTTGGGATAGGGCTGAGGAGACACATTGGTGGGGACCACAGGGAATCTCTTTCATGACTTAATTTTAGTTTACAGTGAGCATGTACTACTCTTATAATCAGGAAAAATAATAAAAGAAAGCTAGTTATTGTGATCATCTAGGGACTCAACAGACAGTTAACTATGGCCTGAATTAGAAGTGTCCAGTTGAGATCAATTCATTTTATGACTTGATG